TATATATATATTATACTTCGGACAAGTTTATTAATAGCTCTGTATACAACGCTTCAGCAATAAATTTGTGTGGTCAGCTTGTTTTTGTAGCTGTCACGTCGACTACAGTGATGTTAAAACGTTTTTAAATGATGTTTAATCCATCAGTCCGCTCTATGGTGGAGCAGTCAGAGTCCATGGAGATTCAGTCCTCCAATGACAACAACATATCAGACAACAACACACCCACAGACTCGTCAGGAATCATTAAATCTGATGAAGGACAGGATGGCAGTGTGGCGGAAGCTGCTTTACAAGACGGTGAGTTGAAATCAGAACACATGGCCGATTCTTTATGGATTAGAGGTGTAAGGCTACGTTCACACTGCAGTCCAATAGAGGTACCATCTAAAATCAAGTGTCAACATCCACACACAAAAATAATATGATTCAAGCAAAACATCAGAATTAAGCTGTAAGCCCTGCAGTGTAAACGTAGTGTAGGACACATCTGTGAGTTCTGTCATTAAATCATAATGACTTCACAGTGGAAACCCTGCGGCGGCTCATATTACAAGATCTGGATGAGGATGGGCGAAGCCACAAGTCAGACGACACGCCCACAAACGAGATGACCAACGGAGGGAGCTTGCTGACAGAGAGACAACGACCGCAGTCCCTGGAAACAGTCCTCGATCTCAGCATAGATGAAGAGGCGGGGCCAACAGAGGCCCCGCCCACAGACACCAGGCAGCCCAGCGTTCAYGTTGTGAGGAAAGGTAAAGGATTTTGCTCTATTTCCAGAATTACTCTTTTTTTCCCCTCATGAAACACATGTTGATTTATTAAATGTAGCTTTGATTTATCTGAATTCTTTGCATGTTTCTCTGCAGAAAGTGGTTTATATTTCTCTTTTTTTGCTTTGATTTGCTTGCATTTACGATCACCGACACGCTGTTTTTTCTTTTTTTCTTCAACTGTTCACCTCTGTACACTCTTTCAACTCACTTGTCCTTCAAACACACTGTCCTCTGTGTGTAGCTGTGGTTGCGGGTCCTCCTCTATCTTCCTCTGTCCCTGATGGCATCWCTGATGATGTTAGCCTCCTCTCCAATCAGTCCTCCCAGTCTAGAGGCAAGGCCAAAGTTCAGGGTAATGATAACCGAACCAGTCAYGTTCTGCGGGTTGTTTTCAGACAAACACAGTCTGTAATTCAACTATAACTTAGCGACCGGGTGAAACTCAGCCCTGAACTCACAAATCGCACCTCTGGTCTTTAGGAAACACTTTCTACCTGGTGATGCCCTCCGAGCAGGGAGAGAGCATCACAGACGACCTCAGCGACCCTCCCACGCCCACCGTCGGACACTTCCCTCAGCCCGAGGAGGAAGTGATGTCACAGTGGGCACAACCAGAGGAGGAAACACCAGCCGGCTGCTCGGAGTTCAGCCAATCACAAACTATGCAACTGGAGGAAGAGGAAGAAACTGGGCCGAGGCAGGCTGGGATACAGAGGCACATCATTAAAAATGCAGATGAGATTTTTCTCACAATCGAAGGGCTGATGAACAAGTTGCACAAACTGAAGGTGGGTTTGTGTCAGTGTGGCTACCAGTGCTGCAACCATTAATCCACATAATCGATCATAAMAATACAGACACAGAATCAACGTTAATGCCTCGTATTTAGGGCTGCAGCTAACGATTATTTTAGTAATCTTTTATTGATTATTCTGTCTATTAATTGAGTAATCAGATATTTAAAAATTGTCATGTTCTTAAATGTATTTTATGAGCAATGCAATTATGTAATATTGTGAAGGGGTAATCTACACTAATTACAATACCAGTTGTATTTAATCCATGCATTTTAAGCTCCACTTGTATTTATG